CCATCTCAGCCCATCATCGTGAAGACCAAGCTCGTATCCAAGATTGCGGAGAAGAAGATCAAGGAGGCCGGTGGTGCCATCATGCTCACCGCTTAGATTTACTAATGTATGGCGACTGGAACCGCTACTCTTTTTTTCTTTTCTTTTCTCCTTTTATTAGGTTTTAAATTTTGGATATTGAAATTTAAGTGAAATGACTACCAGAGTATCAATTGAGTACTTTGTTTCTCCATTAGACTAATTATCTATACATGAGAATTTTTTCAAAAAAAAAAAAGAAAAGAAAAGAGTTCTCGGAGTTGCTAGTAAGGGTCACGCAAGCTCTGGCCATGGGAATTTGCAAGGTTATATCGTTCTGAAGCAAGGATGATAATGGAGCACAATCCACTTCTAGTTTCTCTAACTGGGTTATGGACAAGCTTTTCACTACGGATAGGTCGGGTTTTAATTCTTTGTTGTCGTTGGTAGTTTTGCTAAGAGCTCGGTCTTGGCTTTCTTCTCTGATAATCTTTAGGAGGTTCACCTCCAAACATACAGGAGAGTATTTCCCATCTTGGATATGATTCCACATTCCTCCTGAGATGGGTTATTGTGGTCTGCAGCGACAAGTGCAAAGAGCTCATAGGTGATTGCATCCAATTGTTTGTAAGCACGACTGTTGTTGTTTATCTCAACAAGACAATGGAGATCAACACCTATGATGAAATCTTCCCCGGTATGACTAACCCCAAGCATGAAACAAAAGTGAGGGACATATTGGTCTATGTCTATAGTGGGGCTCAGTTCGGCCACTTGCCCCAGAATATAATGTCCATTTTCTGGCAACTGTTATTCACTTCGGATCAGGTGGTAGGCACAAAGTTGTAAGCATGGCAAATGAGCACTTAAGAATTTTTTTACACCCGTCCCTTAAAATACCCTCAGCCTACCCTTGAAAAAAAATTAATACCCACTTTTGACGGTTGTCAAAATATTTATCAAGTGCCCAACTAACGTGCTTACTTTGTTGTATCTACTAGATCTGGTCCAATCAGCTTTGTTCTTTCATCAGTTAGTTATTTAAGTACCCATTTTATAAAAGGGTATAATGGGTATTTGGAAAAGATATATGCATCGGTTAAACGTTTTCCGTCACGATCAATAACGGAAGGGAGGTTTTTGTTGAATTTTTTAAAAAATCAAGAGAAGTTTTTGCTATAATGAAACTATGAAAAAGATTTTTATGATTGTCAAAAACTGCAGGAGAGGTTTTTATATTTTACCCCAAAATTGAGGACCCATATATTATCATGCCTTAGCCAAGTGGAACTATGAAAGAGAAAAGCTTTCTCATTTATTGCTCATTTTCTTTTTCTTCCGGTGGTCATATGTTTTTATTTAATTCGAAACCGTGGCATTTCTCTTCTTATATCATAAAACAAACACCAGAAAATAACATTTGTTAGAAATATTTTTTTCCTAGCTTCTATCATTGGTTTGATAGAGAATAATAGAGAAGTAGAAAGTGAAGATGAACAATTTTAGTAAAAATCCTTGATTACTTTCCCTCAACCTTTTGTTTTTCTCTTATTTTCTATCAAACCAGGGCCTGTTAGGGAGGGTTTTAACATTGATTGAATTGTGTTGATTAAGATGCTTTTAAAAAACTACCAAACTATCTTCATCCAAAAAAACAAAAAAAAAAAAAAGAATTCTCAACTTAATATAAACAGATTTTTCACCAAACATAAATTAACAGAAGCCGCTGCATGAAAACCCCGTCAAATGGGCACAATCTCAACATTTTTTCTTTGTTGAAGCTACACAACCAGGGTAGCCCATCCCCAATAGCTTAACCAACTGATAGTTGCTCTGTTGATAGGATGTCTGACTTGTTGTAAGAGAGACCTAGGACCAAATCCCGCTGCCACCAGGGCCCAGGCCCAATTCTGTGTAAAATGAGGACTTGAAGGGCAGTTTTGTTTGCACACTTTTTGAGTAGGGGCACTTAAGCAATTAAAACAATAACATGTCTTTTTTTGGGTGGCTAAACTTTCTACTGGGAGTCTGGGAGCAACCAGTCAAATGTTTTTTTTTTTTAATTTTATTTTTACATTGAAAAAACAGAAAAATGAGATAATGAGAGGATAAATAGACAATAATGTTCAAAGAAAAGGATAAATATCTGAAACCTCCCCTAAGTTTGTTGTTGTTGTTGAAACTTCCTCTAAAATTTGGTAATTACAATCACCTTTCTTGAACTTTTCCATATAGTTGTAAGTAGACCCCTGTTAGAATCCTTTAAAAATAGGCATGAAAATGTCCAAAATACTCATGCAGTTACTTTGACCAAGATGTTTATTTTCTAATTTTTTTTTCAACATATGAATCACTATCCCCAATACTTCCAATCTCTTTTCAGGAATTGATTTATTTATTTTTTAAATCTGCCCTTCCTATCAATCTCTCAAAGGAAAACTACAAATCTACAATTTTAAATTTTTTGTTTTTTGTTTTCATAAGGTTGTATTGTTTTTTGGTAAAATATAAAAAACTCCCTGAAGTTTATGACAATCATAAAAATTTCTCTTGAGGTTTTACTTTAACAAAAATCTTCCCTGAATTTTTAGAAAACCCAACAAATACCTCCCTTTCATTGCTGACCCAAACAAAAAATAGTCAACTTACAAAATTGCCCTTAAGCAAGGTTCTAAATATCAATACACTGGTAGGGGCATATCAGGCAGTATCAATTCCTTTTTTTTTTTACTTTTCTAATTTTTTTCAAAACTAGTTCAGGGGGCCGGTTTAAGGCTCCACCCCCTGAACCGGTCAGAACCCTGATACACCCTCTGTAAGGGCGTATCAGGGTGCTCCCGATACGATACGTATCGGCCGATATGTATCGATACTTTAAACCTTACCCCTAATTAATCGTTAGGACATCTTCAATAAATTTTAAAATGCGAAAATGCCCTTCACTCGAGTTTTGCCCTAAATATTTGTTTGCAACCCCCGTCGACAGGCCTTTGCTTTCAGCTCTGGATCGTTACATAGTGAAGCCTCTGATTCTCAGAGGGAGAGTAGACGGAGAGAAAACTCACCCCTGCAAATGTTCTAAGACCTGCAACACTGCTCCTCTGATACAAAGTTGATTGCAGTTGTGGTAAGCTCATTTTCTACAAAAACCAAGACAAGCCCAATTAAAAAGAGTGAACAAAGATAAAAGAAGCACAAGGACTGAACTGAGTTTCTCCTGAGTTTTGAATCTCGCTATGAAACAAGAAAAAAAAAACGAGAGATTTTGATTGAAAAACACAAGATAAAAACAACAAAACCAACTGGGAATTTTTTTCTTTGTTCCGCTAAATTCTAATAGAGTTGCAAACTTGTAATGACTAATGAGATGTTGATTAGACGATGAGAAAGAGCTTTATAAAGTTTAACCCTCCTTTCTCTTGGTGGGGTTTGTTTTAGTGCAGGAAATGAAGAAGGGGGGACCTCTTTGATAGAGTTGCACAAGTGTTATGTAAATTTCTCTGTTTAAAATGTTGACGAGATCAAAGAGAAAGCGAGGGTCTATTAGAGAGAGAGAGGCTTAGTTATGACTTTAGAGGAGATGTTGCATAATCCAATTGGCCATGGTTGTGACCTCTTCCATTTCTTTATTTTAATTCTATCTTCAATAGATAATCTCAACTTCTAGGATACCATAAACAAGTTGAATACCCATCTTACGTCCCTCTATGAAAAACTCAGTTGAACATGTTATTTTTCATAAGAGTTGATTCGTGTAAATGAAGTATTGAGTGTGGGTTTACATGAGCTGATTGGTGTAAAGGAAATTTTGAGGATAGGAAAGTCTGCAGTGGATGAATGTTGCCTCTCTTCTAAACTCAATATATGGGAGATTGAAAGATAAGAAAGAGGACATCAAGTGGATGATTCAGGTTGAGGTTTCTTTACCAATCGAGGGCTAGTTCGTTGGTGTGTTACCTGGTTTGTTCCAGTGTTGATGTGGAATCAAATCTCGCAATTAGTACTTTGGAGAAAAAAGGTAGGGAGAAGTTATTAATGGTGTATAGCACTGAATACCAAAAAAAAAGGTTAAAGTTTTTTTTAGGGTTATTTTAATAAAATTTTATATGAAATCATATATAAAWAGGTAAAATGGGTATTTTGAAAAAAAAAGCTAATATATAAGTCAAATGTTTTTTGTGTGAGGTCAATGAGGGAAGGAAGGCAGTATTTTCAAAACCAGACCAAACCACTATTTGGCCAAAAGTTGTTGATTTGGTCAGCGAGCCGTTGACCCGTGCGATCAAATTATCGACTCGAACAATGGTGTTTGGTCATTTTTTGTTTTTTAATTTTTATTTTTTCTTAGAACGGTCATCCGTTTGATCCAAATAGTCAAACCGTTCGATCCAGAAATCAGACCCAGAACGGTTCTTCTGATCCGGTTTTAAAAACCTTAAAAGGGAGATATTAATTCAAGAGAGGTTTTTGTTAAAGTAAAATTTAAATCATAGAAATAAAAACTTCAGAGAAAGTTTTTATATTTTACCTTAATTTTTTTCTACATAAAGTTGAGGATTTTACCTTTATTTTAGAGGATTTTAAAATTTCATTTTAGCAGAGGGATCTACTTACAAGTTACAACTGTGTGATAAAGTTGAGGGAAGTTGATGACAGTTACCAAAACAATGGCTCCTTCGAGGAAGGTGGTGATCTGAATCTGGATGGTCGTGCAGTGCATTAAGACGATTTCAGAAAATCCGGGCCCTTGGACAAGTGTATTGGCCACTGGGTGGAGAGGTAAGGTACAGTTACGATGGTTCGTTTGGAAAGTCAAAGAGCTACTGTGTATATACGAGTACGACCAAATCCATTCAACTCCCAAATTCGAACCTTCTCCGCTCCGAGTTCGTCTTTTTCTCCAAATAATCCGCTCCCGCTGCACTTCTTGTTCATTTTTATTCAATCAGTACTGCAAATCTTCCCCGTATAACAAGAAAAAAATGGAATTTCGTTCTTTAGTTCACTGTCTCTTCTGCTTTTCTCTCATCCTCTTTCTCCCTTTCGCATCCTCCTCTTCTTTCCCCGATCGTTACCTCAAGTCCATACCCCCATCGCTCCGTCTGAATGCATCGGACGAGTACATCGAGCTGACAAAACCTCTCCCATCCGATGAGCTCACTCCTTCCTGCTCTCTTCTGCTTCTCCAAGAGGATTTTGGCCACACCATCGGATTACCTCCGGTCTCCGTCCCCTACTCACCGCCCCCCGATTGTTCAGGCCCCTGGACCCATGTCGTTCTCGAATTCCTCGCCTCCTGCCAGGGAGAGCAGTACGACCGGATCGTCGGCGTCTGGCTCGATGGAGTCGAAATTCTCCGGACCAGCACCGCGGAGCCTACGGAATCTGGAATCTTCTGGAAGGTTCGGAAGGATGTCACCAGGTACTCCTCCCTTTTCTCGCAGTCCAATCTCACCCTCTCGGTGATGCTCGAAAACGTCGTCAACGACGTCTTTACTGGCATTTACCACGTTAATATCTCTCTTCTATATTACGGAGAGAACAAAATTGCGATTTCGCCTTTATTAGAAGATCAGAAATATAACAGGAAACTAGGATTTGCAATTCAACCCATTAGGAACAATCTGGAGAGAATTATGTTGCCATATGATTATGAAGCGAAGAAATTGGGGTTTATATCTAAAGATCCTAGTGGTAAAAAGTGGGGCCTGCAAGAATCACAGCTTTCTGACGAAAAACCCGCAGACTTGATAATCCCAGTTTCAGGTGATGGCGATGATGGTTTCTGGTTCCGAATTCAGAACGAGGCTGATGTGCACTCTACAGAAATTCAGATTCCCCTCAACACCTATAGGGCTGTTTTGGAAATATACGTGTCATTCCATGGAAACGATGAATTCTGGTACTCGAATCCTCCCGATTCTTACATCAAACTGAACAACTTGACCACCGGGCGAGGAAATGGAGCTTTCCGTCAAGTGTTTGTGACAATAGATGGTGTTTTTGTTGGATCGGAGGTGCCTTTTCCAGTTATATTCACGGGAGGAATCAACCCATTGTTCTGGGAACCTGTTGTGGCAATCGGAGCATTCAATCTTCCGTCCTACGATCTTGACTTGACTCCCTTTCTTGGCCTTCTCCTAGATGGAAATAGCCATTCCTTCGGGCTGGGAGTGACAGACGGAATTCCGTTTTGGCTTGTCGATGCTAATTTGCACCTTTGGCTAGATCCCGGAACGTCTGTTGTCCAGGCAAAATCTGTTCGTTATCATGTTCCCCCTCTATCAGTGGAACGGCATTCGAAATTTAAACAACTTGATGGATTGTTCAAGATAGAGGTAGAGAGAAAGATGAAGTTCTCCGGATGGGTAAATGGGAGTGCAGGGAACTTCACCACCCACGTCACAAAGGAAATGGAGTTCAAGAACTCGATAAAGTTCAAGAAGAATGGAATGTCGAAGGAGGTTAAACAGAAAATCAAGGCGAAGACAGAAGTGAGAGTGGAGTCTGATGCACAGGAATTGCTCGCTCGAACAATCTTCAAAAGGAAATACCCTCTCGAAATCACAACGTCGACTCTACCCGGACCAGATGACAATACGTCTTTATCCATTACCAACATTTCCCATTCCTTGAATGACATATCTTCTCGGGGGAACTTTTCGACCTCTGTTTCCAATAGTCAAGAATCCGGTGGGTGGATGGTGGTGCAGGATCACTCTGTTCTCTCTGGTTCTGCCAATACACGTCAAACTCTAACTTACATAGATGACTACGGTTGCTTCTCCAGAACGGTTGCAGCAAGCAATGGTAAGCTTTTGGAAGATAATTCAACTGCTGCTTGTGCTCAGCCCTTGTAATGTTATCCCTTTCCACAGTGAGAGATCTGACTTTGATTTCGACATAATAGGAGATAAATAAGGTGGGTGTGCTTGTAAATGTGTGTGTCAGAGAGAGAGAGAGAACAGAGAGAATCAAATACATTATTTCATGTAATTGTTTAATTATTTAAAGAAATAGACTCTCTGCAATGCTTTGGTGTTTATGAAGTAATCAACCGCGCCCAGAACTGATTGCAGGCTCCTTGCGGCTGCAAGGACATCAAGGGGATGAGGAATACCCTCATAAGTATGGATCTGGAGTTTTCTTTTCTTTTCCTTTTTTATGAATTTTAGATTTCGAGAATAATTTTTCCTGTAGTGTTGCCGTGAAATCTTCTGTGGCTGGCTAGTCAACTGCTCGAATGTCCTTCACCACTTCAAAACTGGGCATAGATATATGGTGGGAGAATTTCATTAGAAGCCGGTGATCGGTCAGATAACACTAAGGCCCATTTGGTTCGCTGGAGTAGGGCTCTGGAACTGGAATCGGAATGGTTCATTTAGATTTCAACCGTTTGGTTGGATAGAAGCCTAGAAGAAAGGGAGTCCCATTTCCATTTCTGATCCCATTTGAGGGAGTGGTCATTCCCTCTTCTTCTCTTGGGAATTAAATCCTGTTTCAATTGATTTTAATTCTCATTCGGATTCTTGTCTGAACCAAATAAATTATTAAAATAAACCATTTCCATTCTAATTCTGACATATTTTTATTCCAATTCTGACCGCTAACCAAGCGGAATGACAAATTTTAATAGAGTGTAGCAAGAATGACTCTCAAGTGCTAAATTATCTCCAAGCATCAAATAGTAGCTCAAACATCAGGATTATCTTTAATATGATGTGACCGCAGTTGCAACATTTTATGAACACGATCCCTCTTTGTCGGTCTCTGTTTCTCTGTGAAATAATGCAAAAATAAACTTCAAAGTCTGAAGATAGTAAAGAACTTTAAACAAATGAAAGCAGTGTTTACATTATTGATATATTGAAGCACGTACCATGATGGTATACATAAAGCTTATTGCGACCTCCTTTTCTTTGAGACGTAAAGCRAGGCAGTGGAGATTGTGGGCGAGAAGAATAGTATATGGAGTGTGATTTGTATAGTGTGTTACAAAGGAGATAATCACTTAGAATTGGTAGAATTGAATTGTTTATGAGTGGTGGCCCGTTGGTATGTTAGCTGGTTTGTTTTAGAATTGATGTGGAACGATTCCATTTGGGGAAAGAGGAGGTTATAAGTGGTGTGTGGCCTCAAATACTCCTCCCCCTTTCCAACAAACAAACAAACAAACAAGAAATCACATTAGCGCCCCAGATGCACATCTCAGCATGCATTGGGGACATCTTCCACACTTGTCACTGGGAGATGTTCCCAATACATGGTTGGGATGTGGTGTGAGGCAGGGCGCCGATGTGAACTAAAAAAAAAAATTATCAGTTTTTCTAGTGAAAAATCAATTTAGTAGGGATCTGACAAAGCTCCTTGATTTCTAAAGGACATGTGAGAATAACTTCCTAAAAAAAGGTAAATTACAAAGACCCCTCTATTAGTATTACCTCAGTTAACTTCAAGAAGGATTTTCGTTTGACTGTTTAAAGTTTTATAAATGCCTAAACTATCCTTTTCTAATTGATTTTACCTTTTTCTTTAATTTATAAAACCATGTTACTGTTTTTTTAACACTTTGTATTGTTCATTGTCTTTTCTATTAAAATTAATTGAAATGGCTATAGTAAGGACAACGAGTGATTGCCTAGAGTTTTCAATATCCATTCCTAGCAGGTGAATCTTTTTAATTAACTCACAAGAGATTTCTTTTCCTTTTCTAAAACGATCACTAGTGAGATGACAGGAGTATTTCCAGACGAGAAGCAATGGAGGTAGTTTTGGGTCATTTAGGTTTTAAGAGAAAATGGGCAAGAAAAAGAAAATTGAAAAAGTTTAGTGGGGTATTTTGATAATTTAATGCCTTTCTATCATCTCACTTAATAACTGAGGGGGTATTTATTACAATATAAATGTTCAAGTGGTCTTTGTCGTAAATTAAAGTATAGGGGGTCTTTGTCATTTACCCCATAGTTCAAGGGGGGGTCTTTGTAATTTATCCTAAAAAAATCACTCTTTACGTCAACATCAACTGCAAGATAAATGAATATTCAGTTCATCCAATTTGATAATGACCAAATGGCACCCTCGACTCTCTGTAAGAACTCACAAAAGGAAAAAGCTCTAACTAAAGAGTGAGAGCCCTCCAGTTAAGCCCTGTTTGTTTCACTTACCTAGGTACATAAATTTATTTAGGCAAGTGTAATTCTTAAGTAAATCTTGTTGAGTAAATTCGATTCCAATGTTATTGTGTGATATAGACTATCCAAATAAAGGGAAAAGCAAGAGGGAGGAAGCATTATTTTAGTGTAGATAAGTTGCTTACCACCCTCAACCTCAAGGAGGGTATCATTTACACAAATAAATGATACTCTCTGAAATCATCACTTACTATGGGATCCAATATAGCGGCAAATGAACATGCCGATTGTGATCAATTACCCGATTGATTAACTTATCCCCCCTCCCCGCCCCCTACCATGAATTAAACCTATCTATTCTTTATCTATATCTATACTACTATACAAGTATAAGTGCTCTAATAAAATTTGTGTACATTTTGTTTGACTTTTTCTATTGCTATTTTTTGTATATTAAATAAAGGCAAAAAGATATTTCAAGATGTATTTATTACAGTCTATTAAAAGATAATAAAATCTTGTCAGGATTTAGCTTTTAATTGTAATACAGTAATAGTAATAGATCACATTAATGAAAAAATCATGTTAATCTATTTTCTCCCCTTAAAAATTTGTTTACCTTGCCATTTATTTACATCAAACCAAAATTAGATGGGCCAAAAAGCAAAGTGAAGGAAATTAAGGCTAGAGCATTTCTTTCTGAAAATTCTTAAGGACACACGTAGCCTTACAGGTTACTTCGGATCAATTTTTATGTAGCTTTTTTAGTTGAGCTGCTTGGAAGAAGCCACTAAAAGAAGATAGTATGGAGAGTGTCATGTAGATTAGAGATCAGATCTCCTACCTACAAACTCTTGAGAGGTCCCTAACCACAAGACATCACATCCACACATTGAGAGTATCTCCTTCCTGATTCATGGGGGAGATATTTCCAATACATAACAATAGTGTCTTGTGGGTAGGATGTGGGAATAGTTTGTAAGAGATCTGGAATGTGTAGATTTGGGGTGACTATGGGATGGGCCGGGCAAGTCCAAACTAGGCTGCATATATTCTGCACTAAATTTAAGTTATTTGTTATATGAGTTGTAATAATTAATAAGGATATTGAAATTACTAGTATTGTTATCTTTCAACCAAGGTTCAAAGTATCGATATGTATTGGCCCATATCTTCTTATATATATTGTATTTGGAGCTTCTCGATACATCCCTACAGAGGGTGTATCGGGGTTTTGACTGGTTCAAGGGGTGGACGGACAATACTATCCGATACACCTTTACTGATATATCGGGTATATCGATATTTTGAATCTTGCTTCCAACTCCTAAGTTATGGGTTAGACAAAGCAAAATACATAACTCGTTCTCAATCCCTATCACTAGCCAAAAATTAGGAGAGGATTCTAGCTGACTGAAAATAATGGATTAAAACATTTTAGAATGGTTTTCAAAACTGGACCGGACCGGACGGTTAACAAACCGTTGACCCGGACAGTCGAACCATCCAACGGTTTTGACCATTTTTTATTTTTTTTGTCAAAACAGACTATCCATTCAATTCGAATGGCCGGACCATTTGACCTGAGAGCTAGACCCCTAATCGATTCGTTGTCCAGTTTGATTTTTAAAAACCATGCATTTTAAGGTATGCACGCAAACAATCTCTTAGGGTTCAGACTTTGTTAGAATTAAACTGACAAATTTGAAAGTAAATAAAGTAAAAGAAGCAAAGAGAAACCCCAATAGGCGCTAAAGTAGTTAAGCCTACAATTTCATGAATATCAATTAAATAAAGGGGTAATCTAATAAACTATACCCAAGTTTTAAGAAATGGACTAAAATAAATCCTTTTAAAGTATTCCTAAGTTTTATGACAATTGGCATCATTAAATAATAGTGGAAAATAATAAAATGTTGAATTTTCAAAATAAAATCCGATCAATCAAAAGCATGATTTGACCATTTTTCGTTAAAGCATATAACAACAACAACAATAATAATAATAATAATAATAATAATAATAAGGGTTTCTTGCATATAAGGGCAATGTTGTCGGAGGTGGCCGGAGGCAGAGGTGGCGGCGGCGGTGCTGGTGGTTTCTCTATCCAATGCCACAACTTCCGCCCACCTCCGCCTCAGCTTCTGGCAACGTTGCCGGAGATGGGTGGAGACAGAGGTGGCGGCGGCAGCAGGTAGAGGAATGACCACCAGCACCGCCGCCGCCACCTCCGGCAATGTTGTCGGAGGCGGAAGCGGCAGCGGACGGTGGTGGTGGCGGCGGGTGGTGGCG